AATACTTAGGCAAGATGGTCTTTCCACCTACATTCACCATTAGTAGAACAGCTCTTGGGGATGAGATTTAAACCATATCTGGCTTAGCGTAAAGAAATGTTGGCGGAGTTTTTAAAAAATTAATTCGGTAGGTTTTGAAAAATATTTTCATTACTGCTGAAATTCTTACTTGAGTTCTATTTGAATTTGCTACCCAGGACACGTGATGATTGATTGGCCAATGGGTAATGGTGGGAGGTCTGTCTGAGCTCACTGTCCTTGTGCCACAGCCAGATGTGGCTTCCTGGAGGCAGGGTACTTTGTCCTGCTCTGTGGGTGTCCAAGCCAAGGGAGGTAGCATTAAACCAACTTGTCCCTGTCCCACTCTTTCTCCAGCTACGCCATAGCTGACAACGCTTACCGCATGATGTGCTCTGAACTAAATAACCACTTCATCCTGATCTCTGGAGAGAGCGGGGCGGGGAAGACGGAGGCCTCCAAGAAGATTCTCCAGTATTTTGCGGTGACCTGCCCCATGACCGAGTCACTACAAGTAGCCCGTGACAGACTGCTACTCTCCAACCCCGTGCTGGAGGTGAGTAATCTCTGAGGCCCAAGGTGGAGGAATGCCAGGGAGGCCATTTAGTTAAGATGAGCAGGTTGTTACAAAAAGAAGTCTCATGGGGAGTGTCCTAGTTAAGGACGTGGCCTTGAAGTAAGCCCGGCCATCCTGAAAGGAGGCCAAGCATCAGCAAGCTTCAGCAAGCCTCTCCAAACCCCAGAGCCTGTTTCCCCATCTATAGAATGGATCTGCTCACAGCACCTGCTTCTTAGGAGGTTTTGAGGATTAAATTTAGAGATGCATGCAGAAAGAACACAGCAGAATCAGTGAGCACTGTGATCATATTTATTAATATTTTTCTTATTACTGAATTCAAATTATTTTTGTTATTATCATCCACTATTAAAATTTACTGACTTGCTGGCTGGTCTTGAACAAGTCATTTTTCCCTGTTTTTGTGGCTCTTTCTATAGAAGACATTTATGGTGGAAGTAATTGTTTCAATAGACCTTTTGAGTTAAAGAGTTTGATACGAGAAAGGGACTGGGTGGGCCAGCCAGTAGTGTGTTGGTTAAGGCACTGTGTGGTTCAAGACCCAGATCCAGTGGCTTGAAAACACACCAGGCATGTGTTTGTGTGTACTCCAAATCCCAAGAGGCGAATAGAGGAGACGAGACTGTGGTGTGATCATCCCCTCCCTCACTGGGGGGTGATTTTTTACTTTTCCTCTCTGGCCAGTGCGTGCACCCTATAGCAAAAAAAAAAAAAAAAAAAAAAAAAAAAAAAAAAGAAAAAGTGAATGGTGATAGGGGCCAGGGACTGTGAACAATACCTTCTAGATCACTCAGGGCCTAGGGTCCTGCGTATCTCTCCAGGGCCATGTCTCATATGTGCCTGGACTGGCTTCTAGGGAGAAGATGGTTTTACTTTCTCTTCCCTAGGCCCAGCACTAGCGTTTGGCATCAAATCCCACGAAGTTAGTGGTTCCTTCTGTGAAGATGAACTATGGCTCTCCTCCCTGACTTCTCCCTACTTCCTTTACCTTTATAATAAGCATGTTATTGGGGATCAGGAATTTGATAAGCATGCTGAACTTAAATGACAGTGAATGACACTTTGTATTCTAAGGCTTTTGGAAATGCCAAAACACTCCGGAATGACAACTCCAGCAGATTTGGAAAATACATGGACATTCAATTTGACTTTCAGGTACACTGAAGTTCCTATTGCTGGTTCGTGGGGACTCCTTATTTTGCCAATGTTAGAACCCAACCTAGGGCACCTTAAGGAGGAAAGGCATTTTTCGGCTCAAATAGTTTAAAAATCCAGGGCTGGGGCCAGCAGATGGCATAATGGTTAAGGTGCTGAACTCCCACATGTCCAACCATGGTTTGAATCCCAGATCTGGCAGCTTGAAAGTCTTACCAGGTACATGTACATGTACATGTGTGCCCAAAATCCCAGCAGGAGTATGGAAGAGAAGGGATTGCAGCATGACCAAGCCCCCAGGGGGTGATTTCTCACTTTCCATCTCTCAGTCTATCTCTGGTGAGTACACGTGCCCTATGATAAATAATCAATCAATCAATCAGTCAATCCAGGGCTAATGCCAATTTTAAGAAATGCAAATCAAGATCATAATGAGATATTATTTTATTCCTTCAGGTGGGCAAACATTTAAAAGTCTGATAATACTAGGTATTGGCAAAGGTAGTGGATCATTAGGTTTCTTGCATAGGGCTAGTGGGGTGTTCATTAGTGCAACTCATTTGAAAGCAATCTGAAGTAAACAGTGGGTCACACCAATAATGTGGTACTGTCTTGTGAAGTTGAAATCGTAATGTCTGAGGTGCAGCCATCCCACGCCCAGGGATACCCCTGTGGATGTGTAAACCTGCCCACGGCAGCACTGCCTGTGATAGTAAAAGAACTGCAATGACTAACAATCCGGAGAAATCTAAATGTCCGTCGACAGGAGAATGAGTAGTTCAACGTGGCATGTTCACGTGATGCAGTATCACATGGCAGCGAGGACATATAAACTGCGGCTCACGTAACATGCACTCGTCTTGAGACTACTCTCTGTGACAGCATGATGCCATGCTTCCTAAACTTGAAAAATCAGAAGTAAACGGTATGTTATTCAGGCGTGCCTACTCGCATGGCAGAGGTTTTTTGAACAGGGCCAGACAGGACGTATTTGAGGCTTTGTAGGCCACACAGTCTTTGTTGCAATGACTCTGTTCTTTGCTGTTGCAGCGTGAAAGCAGGCACATACTACACATATGTGAACAGGTGTGTTTGTGGTCCATACAGGATTAAATGGGGTTACTGCGAGTTGGATAGACAAAGTTCTCAAGGTCATGTCCTTTCAAGTGGCAAACTGACACTTAGGAGAACAGCAGCTGCCTGGTGAGTTCAGGGCTGAGAACAGACTGGCTCAAGGTTTCCCAGAAGCTGGTATTATGTGGCCCTGTGATGCAGAGTACAGAGATGGAAAGAAATTTAATAGCTATGCATATGTTAAAACTGGCTTGTTTATTTCTTCAGAAACAGAAAGAGAGCTACAAGGACAGGGGCTTCCAACAGGGTCTTCATGCCACAGTCGGACCCTAGCTCAGATTTGGTCACGTGCATCTGGTATATACAGGAAGGCTTTGGGATATGAACCTGGCTTCGTCCGTGTTCTCACTGTGCCACCATCTGGCCCCTGTGTTTGAAAACTCTTATTTAAAGCTCAACACACTTGCTGAAAAAGACAAATTGTGAAGTCAGTCAATGAATTCTTGCATATATTTTCTATCCATGTAACCATCACTCAACTCAAGATTCAACAATTGCTAGCATCTAGGTTTTCCTGCCCTTCTCCAACAATATCTCCCTTCCCATTGCCCATTGTTCTAGCCTCTGTGATCACAGATTAATTTTTCTAGTCGTTGAACCTCATATAAATAGAATTAAATAAAAGGTACTATATTGTGTCTGGCTTCTTTCTGTCCACATTGTGTCTGAGATTCATCCATGCCGTTGCATCAGCAATTGCTCGTTTTTGTTTTTTTTTTTGTATTTACTAAAATATGTATTTATTTATTTATTTTTATATATTTTTATTTTATTTTATACATTCAATCACATTATTTAGCTCACAAAGAGAATATTCCAACTTGTGAACATTTCTCCCTTGTCTAGTTGATAAAACTATAAAATTATCTACAACAGATAATACCACATTTCTTTGTCCCATTAATGC